CTAGCCAGATCGGGGGACGTGGATGGGAGTGGAAGAAAGCACAGAACTTGCATGATTTTACCCTGTGGGGAATCCTGTCAGAGTTGGAACCAACTGAAAGTGGAGGGGGTGAGGGCATCGCTCTTACAGAAACAGGGCTCTTGGAACAAAGTATTATAATTGCTTTCTGTTTTTTTTTTTTTTTATCTATACCTTCTCATAAACTCTTTTTAGTTGTGTGCTCAGCATTCGAACTACTGGGTCATCAGGAAAGCCATGAAGCATTTTGGCATAGGAAAATACGTTATGACTTTCTCAGTGACCTAAGAGTAAAAGCAAATATAATGAAGATCAATTACATTTACAAAAATAGAAAATGCTTGGTGCCAGCAGATGGCATGGTGGTTAAGGTTCCAGATTCCCACATAGCCAACTGTGGTTCAAGTCCTGGTCCTGGCAGCTTGCTTTCTCACTTTCTCTTTCTCTCTCTGGCCAAATTAAAAAATAAAAACAGTAATAGAAAATAAAATAAAATAAATAATTGTGAAAAAAAAGAAATAGAAAATGCTATCCCTACTTGACAACTTAGTCATAGAATTAGAAGTCCCAAATCTTTGGTAGGTGCAAAGACAGCATAGAGAATTAAAATTAGGCATAAAGAAACTCATGATGGTCTTTGAAAGTAGAAGTCATTGGATGGTGCTGTAATAGAGGAGGGCCTGAGAGAGGTCGAAGCATTGGGGTATTGGGGTCTTCTTTACTGTCTACTAAGTGGCCTCACGTTGGTCATTTGAATTCTAATGTTTTGCTGTTTGTAGTTTTCCTGTCTCCTACTTGTTAATCAGCCACCATTTTCTCTATGCTACTGCTTATAATAATGCATCCCTTTCCACTTCTCATTTTTTAAAGTGAATTATTTCATGAGGGAGAGAGACACCCGTGACAAACAAGCACCCTCAACAGGGTTGCATGTTGTGATCCCCCTAGCCTTTCCCCGCCTGCCAGGGTCGCAGGTACCCTCATGCCCTGCATGCGTACGTCAACCTGGGAACCGAACCCAGTCTTCAGGATGGCTTCCAGCACAGCAGAGCATTGAGCTACCTCTGGGCCACCATGGCTGGGCCACGGCGGCTGGGCCCCTGCTTCTAGTTTTTCTCTTCTGTTTTATTGTAGGGGGCATAGCTATAATGTTGCCATCCTCCCACTTTTGTATAATGTGTAAATAAATGGGGGAAGTGGAAAGACTTAAATATATTGGGGGAAGGAAGGGTCTTCTTTCCTAGAGAACCAAAGTATATTTAAACATCTCCAGTTCTACCTTATGTTTAATACATAATTTTGTATATATATATATTTTTTTTTTTTTGAGAGGTTTTTGCTATAGGGCACATGCGCTTGCCAGAAAGACAGAGAGACAGAAAGCAAGAAATCACCCCCCAGGGGGTTGGCCATGCCGCAATCCCTTCTCCTCCATTCTCCTCTCGGGATCTTGGGCACGCACGCACACGCGCCCAGCGTGAGTTTAAGCCACTGGGTCCGGGACTCGAACTGTGGTCGACTACATGGGAGTTCAGTGACATAGCCATTACGCTAACTGCTGGTCCTGGTTTTTGATATATTTTTAATATGGTGTTCGGTTCCATTTAATGTGTTCTTTTCTTTTTGGATTTGATTCTGAAGTTTTAGCCTTTCCACATACCAGGCAATTTCTGCTTTTTTCTTACTCGTATGAAGTTCATACTACCCATATGCTAACATTAGCATTTTCATTTTTTTTTGCCCTTTTATTTTGATAAAACGATACAAGCAAAATGAATCAAAGCAGATGTAAGCCAAGCCACTGCAAGCTCACACGCTGGTTCCTCTCTCTCTGGTCCAACCTGGCTCTACTCTGAAGTAGTTCTACCAGTGACAGTCAGGAAACCATGCAGTGCCGTGTAAAAACCGCCCAGCTCCGACCAAGTCCAAGTGCTCCAAACCGAACTGTAGACATAGGAGTGGTGAAGGGAAGTACGGCCTTCAAGGAGGGGCGCACCAGGAGAAAAGGAGGGCTGGCCACATACAATTGAAATGACCCTTACAGGGCCAGCAGATGGCGTAGCGGTTAGTTGCTGGACTCCTACATGGCCCGCTGTGGTTTGAGTCCCAGATCCGGTGGCTTGAAAATCATGCCAGGTGTGTGGGCATGCCCAAGATCCCAGGAGGAAAATGGAGAAGGGACTGTAGTGTAGCCATTCCCCTGGGGGGTGATTTCTCACTTTCCTTCTCACTGTCTCTGTCTTTCTCTGTTGGCAAGTGCATGCTTTGGCAAAAACCTCTAAAAAAATGACCTTTGCATTCCAAGCAGCTTAGAAAGATACCTTACTTTTACTCCAGCTCTTACTAATTTTCAGTTTGGGGAATTCTGAATTTTTCCTCAACACAGGGGAAAGTGAGGACCTAGCCCTTTTTGGGGTGTTTCGGCTTGGCTTGGGGAGGACTTTTAACGCCGGCCCAGGGGGTTTGCCGTGGCAACTCAGTACCGTTCACTTGCACGGAGAGCCATGGCGTCTGAGGAAGAATCTCGACGTCAGCGTCCCCACGAGTCAGGGAATGGCCACTGGCAGGATGGGGATCATGGGATTGTCCAGGATAAGCCTACCGCCTTGCGGAGGGTACTGACTGTCCCCAGCCAAGTCTGAGGTCTCTCCCGGGTGACTCTCAGCCTTACCCTGAAAGACAGGAACCATATTTTTTAGCCAGCGGCTGCCGGAAGACGGCCCTTGCTGAAAGCTGGAAATTAACACTGAAAGAACTCCAGTGTCCAGCTGCCCAGACACGGCCATTCGGATCATGAAAAGGGAGCTGAGATATACTCACTCTCCTCAGTGTAGTTCTGAGACCAAGTGACTCATCCGAAGTGACTTATCCTTACTGAAGCAACGTTACCCACGGCACCTTTCTTGGGGAAAAAATGCCCTTTTGATATTGGTGCAGTTTAGAATATTCATCATGGTATATGCTGTGTAAAGAGAAAACCATGAAGTCCCTGTCCCAAAACTATTTGGGAATGATAATTGGGAAAATGAGTGTAGACTTTCATTCTCAATGCTGTTACTGGAAGCCATGCCAGAATTCGCTTGTGTGCAGTTTGCAACTATCTAAACGTCTTGAGCATGTGTCATCCTCATAGAAGGTGGGTGGCTCAGGAGAGCAGTGTAGATGTTTATTTTAATGCCCTTAAATTGGACCCGAGAATGTTCTGTGCACTTCACTGCCCGCTAATAGAGGACAGCCTAGGCCATCACACCATGTCTGCTGCAGCGCCTGGTGGGCCGTGCTGGGCGGCCAGGGGTTAGGCATTCTCTGTTGCTGTGTGGTAGGATGCCCTGAAATGTAGCGGTTTGACAACACAGTCAGCATTACCTGATGTGATTCTGTGCTGAGGGACTTTGGCAGTAGTTTAGGTGAGCAGTTCTTATTTGGGGTCTCAGGAGGTGGTGGTCAAGATGCTGACCAGGGCTGCAGGAATCCAAAGGCTTCTTGGGGCTGGGTGACCGACCCATGTCCATGGTGACAGCTGGAGTGCCAGACCTGGTGGCTTGCTTTCTCACCTCCTCCCCTGTCTGTCTGGTGAGCGCGCATGCCCTATAACAAACTAAATAATAACAAATACATAAATAAATAAAATGAATAATTCTTAAAAAAACGTTGGGTTGTTTTTGCTGTGGTTTGTCCCACTCAGGGCCCAGATCGTGCTCAGCACCCCAGCTGCCCTGGAGCCATGCCACCAGCACCATTTCCGACTGGCGGGGGGGGGCTGCAGATAGATGTCGGGGTCGTGGGACGGGCCTGACAGCGTGCAGTCGGCTCCTCCCCTTACGTGCTTTGTGACCGCGTCATGTCTGGGAGACTGTCCACAGAACATTTCACGGACTTTCTGTGATTCTGGTTTTATATGGACTCTTAACTTCTTAAAACCGTATGTTTAAAAGGAGCAGTGAATGAACCACGGTCGTTCTGATGGTGTGTACCAACCTGTAAATGCTACCTGGAAAGGTAGTGCTATATTCAAACCAGTTTGGGGAAATCCCATTCAAAATTCATATCGACGTTATGGGTCTGCGGCTGCGGTGCCTAGCCTTCGGGGGCCAGGGACTTGAAGAGAAGTGTGAGGATGGAGTTAGTGAAACTGAGGTGAGGCGATCCCCACGCATACCAGTCAGCGTGCATTCACACAGACAACCAGAGATGGCGGCCCCGGCCCAGACCTCTGCATGAGCAGCTGCCGTCCCCAAACTGTCTCGTCTCCCAGTGTGATCATGGGGGTGGGGCAGAGCTCTGCTTAAAGAAGTTCATCCGAACACCCTTTAAGTTGTCTCCCATGTCAAGCCAAGGTTTCCTTGCTCAGTTTTCCTCCAGGGAGTGATGCCTGCAGACAACGTGCTTTCGTGCCTTTCTCCAGAAAAACCAGGCCCCGTTGAGGTCTCTGATTCTGGGATACAGGTGTACCCAGTAGGCCTGTCACTGCAGTGCCACGCTGCTCCCCTCTTTGCATGTGACCAGTGCTTCGTGCACCATTGTTCGTTCGTGAGACTGTTCCGACTGTATTTACATAGCGCGAGCTGGCGTGCAGGTGTGATGTATGGAAAGGGAAAGTTGTGAGGGGGGCCGTCTGGGAATGACAAGCGTGTAGGCTCTGCCATTGTCCAGAAGAGCCGCATTCCTCTGCCATCACCTCATTGGGCCTGCTGCTGGGAAGGAGATGCCTGTTTGACCTGTTTTGTTAGTAACTCAATATCTATTTTCGCTGGCATTTGAAGTCGCGGTCTGAGATAGTCACACTTTTGCTCGTGAGTGTACTAATACAGTTATTGGTCATCCTTTAGGCAGAACTGGGCAATTAGTTTTCCAACCCAATAGTCAGAGCAGATGCAGTCAGTTAGATAATATGATGTATAATTTTGTGTTAAAATCTAATTCTGGAGTCAGCAAACTTATTAAAAACTGACCTGACCTTCAAATTTGTTTTCATAATTTTATTTTGCAGGATAACAAAGCCATTGACCTTTGCAGATTGTGTTGGAGACGAACTTCCTTTAGGATGGGAAACCGTATATGATAAACAAATTGGAATTTATTACATGGACCACATAAATCGTAAGTAGAGTGCCTACTCGGGTCATTGCACGTGAGTGCGCTTTCCTGTTGAATCTCAGAGAGGCTGGCGAGTTTTTGTAGAGTGAAACAATCATCCCCGTCCAATGCAGCATTAAACCAGCTTTTGTAAACACAACCAGAAGTTTCCATTGGCTAACTTCTCCCCAAAGTGAGGTGGTTAATGTAGCTGTCCCTCGCTTGTGCCTTGCTGAGGGGCGTATGTGACGTGTTTAATGGAGGCTTTGAATGTCTCATAGAGGGAACACATTTCCCAGGCAGTTTGGAAGCAAATACCTCCCAGAATGAACAGGTGGTTCTTGCAAAGTGGAACCTTCTAGTCCTTGGAACAGTAAGGACCTAAGTGGTGACCCTAGCTTCATTTTGTCTTGTCCATTTTTTAAAAGAATTATTTGTTGGGACCAGCAGATAGCGTAATGGCTACATTGTTGGACTCCCAAGTAGTCGACCACAGTTTGAGTCCTGGACCCGGGGGCTTAAACTCACGCCGGGCACGTGTGCGTGCATGCCTAAGATCCCGAGAGGAGAATGGAGGAGAAGGGATTGCGGCGTGGCCATCCCTCCTGGGGGGTGATTTCTCGCTTTCTGTCTCTACGTCTCCCTCTCTGTCTGGCGAGCACACACGTCCTATGGCAAAATCCTTTCTCCAGCTCCAAAAAATAAAATAAAAAAAAGAAAAAAAGAAAAGAATAAAATAATTTAATTTTATTTATTATTAATATTTTTTAGTTTACTATAGAGCCTATGTGCTTACGAGAGAGAGAGCGAGAGAGAGCTGCCAAGTCCAGGACTTACCCATGGTCAGCCATGTGGGAGTCCTAACCACCACACCACCTGCTGGCCCCTTATGTTGCCAGTTTAACTTTAGTACTCCAGACCTTTGTGACCTGTGTGTATGTGCATGCGTGCGTGTGTGTACAAAGGGAGAAAATGGTATAAAGACATCGACTAAAACCTGCCAGCAAGCTTCGCAGAGCCGCGTGTAACAGTGGTTCTCTGCCCGGGGTGGTTTGGCCCCCATGGGATACTTGGCATTGTGGGGGGGCATTTTCAATGGCCGGGCCTGGGAGAGGTGCTACTGGCACCTGGTACGTAGAGCCCAGGGGTGCTGCTAGATGGCCTCTAGGCACAGTGGGACACCATCAGTAGGTGTCGAGTCTGCAACACCCTGTCTTGGAGGCTGCATTCTATTGCAGACCTCTTCCCACCCCTTGAATTTGACCTTCATCTTCATCAGCCGTCCTCAATCCGTCCCAGCCGGGAGCCCTTCCTCTCTCCTGTTTCAGTCTGGCTTCTCTCCGTGATTGCATTCTTGCCGCTTCTCCCCCAGGCGTGTGAAGCAGGGCTCCCTTTAGCTTGTTCTCGGCCCTTTGGTTTCTTGGGTGTGGGGGAGACCAGGGGTCTGAAGACGCACAGTGCCCCCACCTGGCTGACCTCTCAGCTCTTCCCTTTTCCAGTCCTACAGCTCCGCCCATCCCCCTAGCACCATCCTCCCAGGTTGAAGTCTCTAAGGCTGAGTTCTTGCTTCATCAGTTGCCACCGATCCTTCAGGTTCTGAGCCTTCCCGGCTCAGATCTTGGGGCAGCGAGTTCCTATGCCTGGAACCCAGCCTCGTACACAATCACAGCTGTCATCCAAGACTGGGCAGTGGTGATTATAGGCAGCGCACAGGTACATCCTGTCCTTGCAGGCGGGTACCAAGTGGCAGGAGGTCTTCTAGGTGGACCTGCCCGACACACTGCATGGGGTGAGGTGCTTGGCAAGGTGGAAGTCAGAGAGGCCCCAGCTGAGGACTCATAGGCAGCTGATGACTGACTCTGGAGGCCACTGCACTATGGGCCTGGGCATAGGGCACTGGCGACATCACCAGGCTTTGTCCTTCGGGGCCAGCCGGGATGATGTGCCTGGCATGCCTTTCTAGAAAGCATGTCTGTCTGCCTCCTGCTGCGGCCCTAGGCTCCCGGCTTGTCTCCCTCACGATCTCAACTTGATTACCCCCCCCACCCCTTCTTGGCCACTGGCGTTCTTCGCTTACTTGTTCATGGACTCATGACTAGCGTGTGCACAGCACCTCTCTGTGCCGGCTATTCTGTTGAGCCCCTGGGGACACAGGAAAGTGAAACAGTCTCCACCCTCAAGGCCTTGACACTCTAGAAGTAGCCTGCAGCCCTAAAATTGAGTAATCGGTAAGTAATCATTTTCTCCGGCCAACATGAACTTGACTGGGATGACCCCACAGCATGCAGGAGATGGGTGAGGATGTGGGTTCTGAGCTCACAGCACCCCTGCCCTCGGAGACCTTGTGGGAACCCAGGCTGGAGCAAACAGCACTTGAGAGGCCTAGTGTTACCACTGCAACTGTGTGGGGACCAGTGGGGTTGGCGACCGATGGCGAGGTGACCAGGGGGGCCTGGCTTGGAAGCCTGCAGTTCTCAAGACTCTCTGGGGTCGTGGAGCAGCCTGAATGGTACTGGGCAGTGGCCGCAGTGAGCGGGTCTCTCAGCTGAACAAACATAAGAAACATCTGGGCAGTTACAAAAAGCCAGACTCTGCCCCTCCAGGCCCTTGAGGCTGAACTCTGGGACGAAGCAGGACTCCAGTTTTTGTTTTCTTAATTTCTTTTTCTTTTTTCTTTCCCACTGTGAGCTTTTAAGGTCTGTAAAGGCTTTCTAGGAGGGGTCCTGGGGTGGTGGTGTGAAGGGGTGAGTAGGGGGATGTCCACAGGAGAGCAGGTCGGGAGGGCATTGCCATAGGCAAACTTACCTTGGAACATTCTAGTACACATACTCTTGTGTGTGTTTGTGGTGAAATGAACCTGATATAAAATTTACCTCCCTAACCATTTTGAGGTGCAATTTATACCATTTGCAAGATGGCCAGCTGCGTAGCGTTTGGGGCATTTGCAGTGCATTGGAGCCGTCTCCTCTGTATGGCGTAGTTACCCCACAGCACCACCCTACCTCCAGTGAGCGGTCATCCCCCATGCACCTGGCCCTGGCCTCTGTTAACCACAGTCTGCTTTATGTTTCTGTGGATTTGTCCGTTCTGTGTCTGTCATGTCGGTGGAACCAGGTAGTGTGCCCTTTAGCATTTGGCTTCTTTCTCTTAGTATAATATTTTGAGTCCCCTCCCGCCCCCCGTCCTGTAGTATGTATCAGAGCTCCCCTTTTATGGCCAAATGACATTCCAGAGACCAGCTGAGAGATCCTGAGACTGTAAAGATGACTGAGGCTGTGCCCTGCCATCTAGGGTCTCATACTTCAGGTGGGACACAAAAAACAACCATGGTTACCCCAGCCATTGCGGGAGATGGAAGCGCTTGGAGGGCCGGAGCAGGCTACAAAACAGAGAGGCCTTGGCAGCGTGTCTCAGAAGACCGGGCTTCCTGGTGGGCAGAGAGGACAAAAGCAGCAGAAAGGAAGGCATAGATGAGCCAGCCAGGCAGAGTCGAGGACTTTGGAAAAGTCTAGTCTGTGTAGAGGATGTTTGTGAGGAAAAGGACAGAAAGCAGGGGTGAAGGTGGCAAGTGACACTGGGCTCTGTGCTTTCCAAGACGTTTGTGTGTTAAAGAGTGCAGTAGTTAGGAGGGTAACTGCTGAGTGACTGAGGAGGGGGTTTGGTGGGGCGAGACAGCAAGCTGGGGAATTTCGGGGTAACATTGTAAGGGTCTGGTTGAACCTAGAGGGGACAGAGAAGGGCACACCCTTAGTTATTATCCTGTCTCAGGACAGGAGTCACCAGTTCTTGATGACCCATGGAATGTTCCAGAGGGAGAAGATACTTCTTTAAGACCGAGTCCCAGGGCGGACAAAGTTGGCTGATGGGTACATGCAGATGATGCCACTCTCTGGGAAAGGGACGGCAGAGGGGAAGCAGGGATGGTACTGAAAGGGTGGCATGTCAGAGTGCGTAGGATAAGTGGCTCAGAATGATCTTGGGTCCATCTAGATGGAGATGAGTCTAGGAGGCAGTCGATAGTAAAAGACTGAAGCCAGAGGTAGGCACGAGCCCTTCTGCGAGCCTGTGGAGTGAGGAGGCAGGAGTGGAAGCTGGGAAAGTTACAGGTAGGCAGAGGTAAGGAAGTCAGCGAACGACGAGCAAAGGCTGAACAGGCTGGTCTGGGAGCCGAGAGACAAGGAGCAAGCTGAGTCGGGAACCAGTAGAGCTTCCGTCATCCCAGTGAAGTCAATGGGAACAGAAGGTCGGAAATGTCTTCACTTGACAGTTCCAGGCTTGTTTGGGTTCATCTCCAATGTCAGTTTCCTTTATACACGATAGAGAACATGCAAGTGAGAGAGAGAGCCCTCCGCAGGGTCCGATCGCATGGACATCGCCTTCCTCCAGCCCTCCAGCTCCTCAGGATCTTGGGCGCCTGTATATGTGCTTGGTGTGTTTCAGGTCTACCATGCCAGGGATCCAAGCTGCGGTCGTCCCTGTGACTTCCAACACTGCAGTTCAGCACACTGCAGACAGTGTCACTAGGCTAGGCCCTCCAATGCTTACTAGAAGTGTGGTCTTTGTCAGTGACTTCCCTCTTCCATGGACTCTTTCACATCTGGAGCGTTTTCCTCTCTTCTCAACCGTTGGCTGTATAAATAGAAAACGTTCCACACTTCAGAAGGGCTCACGAGAGAGAACCTTCCACATGTGCATTGTGGCAATTAATTCATGTTCATATTGGCTGGTAACATAGTTGACTGTTGGTCAACCGAAAGATTTTACTTTTAGATCACTGATGTTCTTCCCCTTTTAATTTCAGAGCTTACTCAGATTGAGGATCCAAGAGAACAGTGGAGGCGAGAGCAGGAGCGGATGTTGAAGGAATATTTAATTGTAGCCCAGGAGGCTCTCAATGCCAAGAAAGAAATCTACCAGATTAAGCAGCAGCGGTTTGAACTGGCTCAAGAGGAATACCAGCAGCTGCACAAGATGTGCGAGGACGACAGCCGCTCATACGCCAGCTGTGAGTTGACTTTTCTCCCTGCTAGGTAATCTGCAAATGCCGAGCTCAGCACAAGGTAGCCTTATGAAGGTTCCAATGGCACGCTGTTGGGGACATTTGCGCTGTAGTCGGGTGATCACCATCGCCACTCCTTGGCAAATCTTAAAGTGCCTGCTTTGTGCCCAGGCACTGGGACATGGTGGCGACTGCGAAGGGAAAGGTCCCTGCCTTCATAGAGACTATGTTCAGTAGGGAAGACAGAAAAGAAACAAGCACGTACGATTTCCGTTAGTGACGTGAAAGCTCCTCCTCTGTTGCATTCATGACTTTCAGGAGGAAGATCTCCGCAGTTCATCCGGCTTGTCAGGACGATCTCTTGGGAAACACCATAGTGGTTTCATTACTCCTGGGTGGGAAGGCTCAGGAGTTGTCAGACACGTCAAGACCTGGCTCTCGTAGAGTTCTTTCTTGGCTTTCAGCTTTTTTGGGCAGCCCACTGGGCAAGGATGCCTACAGTATAACCCAGAGGATCTGGGGCACTGCTTTCTGCCCCTCAAGTAAGATGACTATCTCCTGCTGATCTCAAAAGGAGCTGCTTCCTAATCTTGGCAGCTGTCAGAGGTGGGCTCCTGTTTCATTAGTATTCAGCAGATGCCCAGGCATTGAAGGGACCAAGGTGGGTCTCAGAAACCACAGCGTTTTATTACTGACCCAGTCAGTCACTCTTTGAACTGGTCCCTTTACAGTAGAGTCGTCACAGTCAGCAGCCATCCCCCTCCGTGAGCACATGGTGACTGTCCTGACACCAGTGAGCTTAGAAAGAATGGATGAAGTTGGTACCACTAGGTTTTTATTAAACTCTGTGTGTTTGAGACACGGAAGGACTTACCTGTGACATTCCTGCAAAAAAAACGCCAGGCATTTGGTCCAGGTGACAGAGCTCTGAACACTAAAAACACGGTCCTAGCTTGATTCTGTGCTGCATGTCAGAGTGGAGGTTAGGCCAAGTGGCCCTGCGTCTTGTGCTCTTTTTTACTGTAGCTGCCGATGAAGGTAAGCCATTGATGCTGTGGACAGTGCTGGGCTCTTCCTTCTGACATGCACCTTGAGGGAATGGAGGGGCCCCCAGTATAACGGTGTGTTGCTTCCATGTCATCTTAGCTTTCGTTCTTCAGATGTTGGTACACACTAGTTGTTTGCCTGGTTTTTAAACGTTCCATTAGAATGTGTTAGGTCAGCTCAGGCCTGCTATGTAGAGGCTAACTCTGCAGTTTTCTTGTAATGTCTGTCTCTGATTTTGGAATCAGGTTAATATAGGCCCCATAGAATGAATTGGGAAGTGTTCCTCCTTTTTCCCGAAAGAGTTGGCGTAGGATTGGCATGAGCGCTTTCTTAACTATTTGATAGAATTCACCAGAAAAGCCATCTGGGCCTAGAGTTCTTTGTGGAATGTTTTCAACTACAGATTCAATACCTTTCATAGATACAGGGCTATTCAGGTATTTTCTTTCTTCTTGCTCAGTTTTTGGTATCTGTGTGTTTCAGAGAATTTGTCTAATCCAGAAGTTGTGAACTTTTCTGTGAAGGGTCAGATAGTAACTGCGTTCAGCCCTGCGGGCCATCTGATCTCAGTTGTACCTCCTTAGCCCTGTGGTTATGGAACAGAAACAGCCGGAGACGGTGTGTGTGCAGCTGTGTGTGGCTGTGTACAGGTAACAGGCTGGCCTTGGCCCACGGGGAGTTTACCTGTGACCTAAGCTGCCGCCTCTAGAAAGTAGTTTAGAGAATTCCCTTGCTACTCTCGCAATGTCCTAGGTTCCGAGGTGGTGTCCTGTCTTGCATTCTTGATATTAGTGATTTGTTTCTTCTTCTTTTTCTTAATCAGTGCAGCTAAACTTTTATCAAGTTTATTTATCTTTACAGTTAACAGGGTTTTGACTTTTATTCTCTTATTGTCAGTTTTCTATTTTATTGGTTTCTTTTTTTTTTTTTTGGAGAGGTTTTTGCTATAGGGCGTGTGTGCTCACCAGACAGAGTGAGACAGAGAGACAGAAAGCGAGAAATCACCCCCCAGGGGGATGGCCACATCGCAATCCCTTCTCCTCCATTCTTCTCTCGGGATCTTGGGCATGCACGCACATGCACCTGGCGTGAGTTTAAGCCACCGGGTCCTGGACTCGAACCGCAGTCGACTATGTGGGAGTCCAGTGACATAGCCATTATGCTAACTGTTGGTCTCTTATTGGTTTCTTTATTATTTTTTCTACTTAATTTGGCTTTAGTTTGTTCTTCTTTTTCTGGCTTTCTAAAGTGGAAACTTAAATCATTGCTTTTAGGCCTTATTTTCTCACATAATCTTAAAGGTATGAATTCTCCTCTGAGTACTACTGTAGGTGCATCCCACAAATTTTGGTATGCTGTCTTTCCATTTTCGGTTAGCTCAAAATATTTTCTCATTTCCTTTGTGATTTATTTTTGATTCATGAGTTCTTTAGAAGCAAATTGTTGGGACTTTTTAAAGATGTGTTTCCTAATTCAATTCTACTGTGATTAGAGGCTATACTTATGTAAGATGTCAGTCTTTTAAAATCTACTGAGATGACCTCTGTGGCCAGCAGATGGTCTCTTTCGGTGATCACGTAGGGTCAGAAACCCGTGGGCTGCGTGCCTGAAGGCCGCACATCGCTGAAGCTTTGGCAGACTTTTACACACAGTCTGCAGTTCTAAACCTTTCACAAAGCTGCTTGGTAAGAAGTTAGGTTGAATGATATAAAATTGCCATTTTCGTAGGTTAAAAAAGGCTATTGGCATTTTGTTGTCATTCAACCTAAGAGCGAGTGTTTCCCCAGTAGCCATTATGCGTTACATGGTCAGGTTCGGTTACGTTTCCAAAGAGAATGGAACAAAAGAAGTACATCTCAGAAAATTTAGCAGCTTCTTTCTTTCTTCCCTCCTTCCTTTCTTTTTCTTAGTTTTTGCTATAGGGTGCATGTGCTTGCCAGAGAGAGACAGAGTGAGAAATCACACACACACACACACACACACACACACACACAAACACACACACCCAGGGGGAATGACCACACCTCAATCCCTTCTCCTCCATTCTCCTCTCGGGATCTTGGTCATGCACAATCATGCCTGAGGTGATTTTCAAGCCACTGGGTCCAGACTCGAACTGTGCAGTCAACCATGTGAGATCCAGCACCTTAACCTCCTGTTGGCCCCTGCAGAGAGTGATGAAAAGTCAAGTCAAGAGTGGCGTAGTGGCTGCTGTCGTGAAGCAGGGACCTCCGCTGCAGCGAGTGAGGGCACAATAGACTGCATGCCCTTGGAGATTCAGATAGCCACCTGTCCAGTGATGCCATACCCACATAAGGGGGAGTGAGGGGGCAGCCCCAAGGAGGGGCCCAGCCTGCGAGTTTAATTGAGGGCATTCAATATTCAAAGTTGTGTGGAGTTGGGAAGCTTTTCAATTTCCTTGGGCTTTTTGCTCCCTTGACATTGGGCAAATAGGGAATTATGTTTAAGTACATTTCTTTCTGTGCCCCATGGAATTCTGTTATTGCCCAGTAACAAGGAACATTCTAGACACACTCTTTTTAAAGTGGTGTCTGTGTCTTCAGGAGAGGACGCTGATGACTCTGTGGCATTGGGTTGAAAGTCTAACATGCTCATTAGGTCCCATTTCTTGACCTGGTGGACGTCTCCGTGTAGACACAGTCTCTTCTTCCACTCACGGAGATTATCCTGGAGGCCAGTGGATCTTTCTGGAGTCTTTCAGCTCATCAGGGGAAAAGTCAACTATGAATGGAATCTAGAGTTAATCCAAGTGCTTTATCACGTTGCTGCTGTCTCTGGGTTTCCACCGAGCTCTTTCAATCTGTCATTTAACCTGAACTGCCAGTTACAATGAGGAAAATCCTGCAGACACGACTCAGATGAGTTCTTTCTGGCCACAGGCTAAAGTTCAGTCCAGTGATCCTGTTGGCCTGAACTGTCTTGATATAAGAGATGGCTTACACAGCCACGCCAGAGGGGTTGGCCCTGAATCAGCACCTGCTGGTGGCACCTGGACTCCAGTCGGCCACGAGTCTCTCCTGGCCCCGATCTCTCTCTGAGCTAGTCGTCTAAAGCAGGGAGGCATCTCTGCTTAGGGACTGGGAAGAGAGTACCATCTCGACTCACTCCCCATTACTTTCCTTATTCGTAATGTCAATATCCAGTGAGTTGGTGTTTTGTATGCATTGTTATAATCACAGCATTATGAAGCACGTGCTGTCACCTTCACCGATCATACAAGAAATGGCAGACTGAAGGGGGAGGAGGCTAAATTACTGCTTCAAGGTTACATACCCCGTAAATGGTAGACCTTGGACTTGAATCCAGGTCTGTTTTCAGTTGTGACCTTCAGTGCTCTGTACTATTTCCTAGACCCAGAAGACACAACTCAGAAGAGCTGACTGTGTTTTTTGAACCGTGCTCATCCCGTCCCCCAGATTTTCCAGTTTCCTGCAGATGAAGTCCAGTGAGGAACCGACATGTTGGCTGGCAATTTTGCAGTAATTAAAGGAGCGAGCGGCAGGCAGAGCACTTCCTGCTTTTTCCTTTTCCTTTCTTCATGACAGAGTGTGTGCACTCATGCACACGTGGGAGTGTGTGGGGAGGGAGTCAGGTCGCACTGCCATTCCTTCCTCCAGTCCTCCAGTCGCGAGGGTCCTGAGCACTCACATACACGCCTGGTGTGTTTCAAGTTACCCGGCTGGGAATTTGAACTGCAGTCGCTACTCGGGATCCGGCTTCTGAGCATGCGTCATTACTGCCACATGGAATAGGCCCACTTGACTTTCTTATGGTTCATGTGGGGTCGTAAAGCCATTTGCTTGTTTTTTTGATGGATACTTATTCAGCACCTGCTGTTGATGTATATTCAATGTTGGGGACGTGGTTTACCTCTGGTTTTCGATTGTAGGGGAAAATGAGGCAATAATGGTGAACAGAGGAATGAACTGGAACAGCCA